TCCAGATAACACAACCTTGCTTCCTGAAAGTGAAAAGAATTTGAAGCACTTGTTGATAAAGATCAAATACTACAGCCTTCAGTATGGATTTTACTTCAACATAAAGGAAACAAAAATCCTCACAACTGGACCAAAAAGCAACATCATGATAAGTGGAGAAAAGATTGAAGTTATCAAGGATTTCATTTTACTTGGATCCACAATCAACACCTGTAGAAGCAGCAATCAAGAAATTGAATTGCTTTGGGGAAATCTACTGCAAAAGATCTCTCTAAAGTGTTAAAAAGTAAAGATATCACTTTGAAAACTAAGGTGTGCCTGACCCAAGCCATGGTATTTTCAGTTGCCTCATATGCATAGGAAAGTTGGACAGTAAATAAGGAAGACCGAAGAAGAATTCATGCCTTTGAATTATAGTGTTGGTGAAGAATATTGACTACAAGAAGAGCAAACAAATTTGTCTTGCAAGGTGTACAGAATATGCCTTAGGAGTGAGATGGAAAGACTTAGTCACAGGTACTTTGGACATGTTATCAGAAGGGACCAGTCCTTGGAGAAGGACATCATGCTTGGTAAAGTAGAAGGTCCGTGAAAAAGGGGAAGACCCTCAACGAGATGGATTGACACAGTGGCTAAAATAATGGGCTCAAACATAGTAATGATTGTGAGGATGGTATAGGACCCAGCAATGTTTCATTCTGTTGTACATGAGGTCACTACTAGTTGAAACTGACTCAACAGCACCTAACAACAACATAAATTAAAGCTTAGCATCTAGAAACAGAATATGGCTTATATCAATTTTTGCAAATTATAATTTTAAGTAATATATGTCATCAAATTTGTTTACACAAAGTTTTTAATAATATTCCATTATCCTTTTAGTATCTAGAATCTGTAGTTATAACCCTGTTTTTATTCCTGATATTAGGAATTTGTATTCTCTCTCTTTTTTTTCTTGATTAGTCTAGCTAAGGGCTTTTTGATCTTTTCAAAGAACCATATTTTGGCTTTGTTAATTTTCTCTACTGCTTTTCTCCTATCTACTTTGAGGATTTTTCCTTTTTATTATAATTTTCTTCATTCTGCTTTCTTTGGGCATAGTTTTCTAACTTCTTAAGGTAGAATATTAGGTCATTGATTTTAGACTTTTCTCCTTTTCTACTATAAGCAATTAAAATTGAAATATCTTCTCAATGCTCTTTTAGCTGTGCCCTGCATTTTTTTTAATTATTGTAAAATATATATATATAACACATCTTTAAATTGATCATCTTTTCAAGTATACAACTTAGTGATATTAATTACATTAATTATGCTGGGCAACCACTATCCATAATCAATGTAAATAAATATTAACACTCACTGCGTCCCAAACAATGACTCCTCCTTTCCCTCTCCCACCAGACCCTAGGAACCACTAATAAACTTTGGTCTCTATACATTTGCCTGTACTTGTCATTTCATATTAAGTCAAATTATGCACGATTTGTCCTTTTGTGATTGACTTATTTCAATTTTAATTAAATAATTGTAATTAATGAATGTTAATATGTTGTATTTTCATTATCATTCTGTTTGACATACCACTTCCTCTTGTGATTTCTTCTTTGATCTATGAATTATTTACAATTGTATAGTCAAATATTTTCCTAAGTAACATATTGCTTTTGATTTCTAATTGATTCCAATGTGATCAGAAAACATACTCCACATAAGCTCAATTTTTAAAATTTATTGAACCTTGTTCTATGGCCCAGCATATCCTGGTGCATGTACCATATGCACTTGAAAAGTATGATTATTCTGCAGTTATTAGTTATTAGTTGATTATTCTGTTGTTATTAGGTGCCTTCAAGTCTGCTCCAAATCATAGCACACCTATGCACAACAGAACACTGCCCAGTAGTGTGCTGTCCTCCCAATCCTTGCCATACTTGAGCCCATTACTGCAGCTGCTGTGTCAATCCATCTCATTGAGGATCTTCCCCTTTTTCACTGACCTTCCACTTTACCAAGCATAACATCCTTCTCCAGTGAATGGTCCCTTCTGACAACATAACCAAAGTAAGTAAGACCAAATCTGGCAATTCTCACTTCCAAGGAGCATTCTAGCTGCAGGAGGGTATATATATTAAAAAGAAAAAAAAAAAAAAAAAAAGCTATGACTGCCATTGAATTGATTCTGACTCATCGCAAGCCCCACTGAGTTTCCAAGGGGGTAAATCTTTACAGAAGTAGATTGCCCAGTCTTTCTTCCATGGAGTGGCTGTTGGGTTTGAACTGCCAACCTTCTGGTTAGCAGTTAAATGCCTTAGGCACTGCACCATCAGAGCTCCTTATCAATTAAATCAAGACAACTGATAGTGTTCAGATCTTCTAAATAATTAATGACTTTTGTATCTACTTTGATCAGATGTTGAGAGGGGCACCTTAAAATCTTCTACTCCAATTTAGAAACTGTCTTGTTGTTCTTTTAATTCTGTCAACTTGGCTTCGTGAATTTTGAGAATTTGTTATTAGGGCATATCTATTTATAATCCATCTTCCTAATGATTTTTACTTTTTATAATAACAAAATGTTTCTCTTTATCTTTGATAATAATCTAATTAATCTGATATTAATTTAGCAAGCTTTCTTATGTTATTGTTTGTGTGGTATAGCTTTTTTTCATCTATTTACTTTTAATCAATTTGAGTTTTAAATACTTAATGTTTTCTCTCATATACAGCACATAATTGGATATTGATTTTTCAAAAAAATCCATTTTGATCATCTCTTTTAATTTGTATGTTCAGGACACAAAAATTTAATGTAATTAGTGATGGGGTTGGATTTAAGTAAACCATTTTATTATTTGTTTTCTGTTTGTCCCTTCTAGTTGTCCCCTCTTTCTGCCTTCTTTTGGGTTATTTGAATATTTTTTAGCAGTGCATTTTAATTTATTGGCATTTTAGCTATACCTGTTTGTATTTTTTTTTTGTTAGTTGCTCTAGTGATTAAAATATACATCATTAATTTTTCACAATCTATGTATATTTAATAACCCTTCCACTTGTAACACTATATGTAAATGTAGAATCCTTGCAACCATAAAAGGCCTTTTATCAATCTCTCTTCTACCCTAATCTTTCTTTATACCATAGTTCTAGTTGTCACTTGTATTACAACTACCTGCCTTACAGCTACCAAAAGACAGTGTTATAATTTTCTCTCTAAATAGTCTTACGCATTTTAAAAAACTTAAAAAGAAAGTCTCTTATATTTGCCCACATATTTACCTTTTCATTGTAAGCAAATTAAATTAATCCTGGTCTTTACAAACTTCTGCTCTTTCTACCCTTATTCTGAGCAACTTAAACCCAGGAACCAAGATGTCAAGCACAGAATCTCCCCATGAAATTGGAACATCCATGAAGAGATGCTGAATATCCAAAGATGGAATGTGTTTGGGGGAAGGAGCAGGAGAAAGGGGAAATTTGCAAATTCTGTACACATAATTTTATACACACACAACACATTTATGCTATGAATAGTAACATAAATTTTTGTAATATAGAGTATCGTTTGGAGATTTTACAATGTTGTAATTTTTCTAAGCAAACTATAAATCCAATAGCCCTTTCTTAGAAGTCCCAAATGGATTCCAGTTTCTTTCAAAATACTGCCATTTATGGATGACCTATAATGTGCCTGGCACTCAGAAAAACAACTTGCACATATTGTTTTATCAAACATTATAACAGCACTGGCAGGGTAGGCATTGTTCACATTTACAAAAGAGAAAACTGAAGGTCAGAGAGGTTAAGCAACTTGCCCAGAGTTAAATACCTGTTGAGAGGGTTGTTGTTGTTGTCTGGTGTTGTCAAGCCAGCTTCAACTCAAAGTGACCCTGTCCATAACAGAACAAAATACTGTCCAGTCCTGTGCCATCATCACAATCTTTGCTCTGCTTGAACCTATCATTGCAGCCACTGTGTCAATCCATCTCATTGAGGGTCTTCCCCTTTTTCTCTGCTCCTCTACTTTACCAATCATGGTATCCTTCTCCAAGGACTGGTCCCTTGTGACGACCAAAGTACGTGAGATGAAGTCTAGCCATTCTTGCTCCTAAGGAGCATTCCAGCTGTACTTCCTCCAAGACAGATTTGTTCGTTCTTCTGGCAGTCCACGGTATTTTCAGTATTCTTCGCCAACACCCCAATTCAAAGGCATCAATTCTTCTTTAGTCTTCCTTAATCATCATCTAGCTTTCACATGTATCTGAGGCTATTGAAAGTACCATGGCTGGGGTAGGTGCATGTTAGTCTTCAAAGTGATATCTTTGCTCTTTAACACATTAAAGAGGTTTTTTGCAACAGATTTGCCCAATGCAATATGTCACACTGAGAAGTTAGAGGTTGGAATTTGAACCTAGATAAGATTCCAAAGCCTATACTCTTTTTACTCTTTCTCCTTTTTTGAGTTCCAGGGTAGCACAAATAGTTAAGTGTGTGACTAACCAAAAGGCACTCACCCAGAGGTGCCTCGGAAGAAAAGCCTGGCAGTCTGCTTCTGAAAGGCCACAGCCATGGAAACCCTGTAGAGCAGTTCTACTCTAACATACATGGGTTGCCATGAGTCAGAATTTAGTAGAGGACTTGTTTCAGCTATCACCCAAGCAGAATATTATGGTCTTCATCTCCCAAATATGTAGTGGGGAGAGAGGGTGCATGGGGCTATAAAAATAACATTCACTTCAAAAAGGAGACATATTCTAACACCAGCTTGTTCTAATTTGCTTCACAGTCATGCAACTCTCACTTCTCTAATCCTTCTTTCACCATGTCTAAAACAGAAATAAAAACATACTTTGCAATAACTTTCAGAATTGTTCTAGGAATAAAATGAGAAGAAATATAAAAGTATGATGTAAATATTAGTGACTGTGATCATAACAAACATAAAGGCTATGAAGGCCCAACTCACAAACTAACAATTTCTTTTCTAAGTTTTACAGTTACGACTTCAACAGAGAAGGGCCCAAGAGCAACTGGCTAACCAAGGCATAATACCACGTGAGTACTTGCATCTTATATACTGGATATTACAGTACGATCATGTGTTTGGGAGCTGTTATGCACCTCAAGGAGTCCCTGGGTGGTGCAAATAGTTAAGCACTCAGCTGCTAACTGAAAGGTTGAAGGCTCAAGTCCACTCAGAGGCACCTCAGAAGAAAGTCCTGGTGATCCACTTGTGAAAAATCAGCCACTGAAAACCCAATGAAACACAGTTCTACTTTGACACACATAGGGTATCCTTGAGTTGGAATCAACGTAACACATCTAGTCTGGTTTCTTAAGTTTCTTCAGTGATTCTAAAATCACTTAATCTAAGCCAATACATCAGTCTCCTAAGATCCTCATGGAATCTCTGTCAGCAAAAGCTTTAGACCTTTGGTACCTTTCCACAATTGCTAAAAATCTACTGCTGCTGAGTCAATTCCAACTCATAGAGACTCTACTGTGACCCTACAGGGACAACCATTGACTTGTATGATCAGTTATTAATACTTGCATCTACATTTGCACATGACTTACAAATATTTTTTTTTACAATCTGTTATTTGGTTCTTGGAGGGTTTTTTTTTTTTTTTTTTTATGTTATTGTTAGGTACCATTAAGATGATTTTGACTCTTGGCAGCTCCATGTGGCAGAGTAGAAATGATCCCATACAATTTTCTAGACTGTATCATTTACAGGAGCAGTTTGCCAAGTCTTTCTCCTACAGAGCTTCTGGGTGGATTCGAGCCACCAACTTTTCATTTAGCAGCCAAGCACTTAATCGTGGCACCACCAGGGCTCCTCTTGTTTGACTTCTCTGCACTCTGCTCTTCTGGTTTGTTGTCTGTATTTCAGGAACTAGTCCTCCCTGTCCTCCTCTCCATTCTTGTTAACTAATAGTACTCATCTTTATTTCAACTCTGCTGTGCACTTATTTCATGGAAATTTTTACAAATGTGGTCAGCCCGCCACCTCATCAGACCTCTTTATAATGACTTTTTAGAAGGAGTCCTGGTGGCGCAGTGGTAAAAATGCTCAGTTACAAGCCAAAATGTTGACAGTTAGAACCTACCAGCCGCTCTGCAGGATAAAGATGTGGTAGTCTGCTGCTGTAAAGATTTACAGGCTTGGAAACCCTATAGGGCTGTCGCCATGAGTAATATGAGTAAGCACCCCAACTGCTACTCATCTATAATTAGGGCTTTCCTTAATGATGTAGGTTGTGCCTAAAATTCCAATTTGGTGGATTTGTTTTTAAAGTAAATAGAAACCCTTATCCTGTTTTCAAAATTGGATATAATCACCATTCTTTTCTGATGCACAGTTCACATAAACTTTTTCTCACCTCCTTGGTTTCAGTTCTGTTTGGGGTACTTTAGTCCATTGTTGTTACTGCCAAGTGTTTCCTCTCTGAAAGAGTATCAATACTGTTAGCAAAATTTGTAAAATCTGGGTCAAGGAAGAAAGATTATGACATCTTTTGGAAATATATTTGAAATTCCTACAAATTCAGCAATAAAGCTCTTAGTTATCTATCAAAGAAATAGGGAATATGTGTACAGGATAAATGAAATCATAGTTTAAGCTTCTTTAGGTCTTATTTTCTAACTTCCTCCCTGACAAAATTTAAAAATCAAGATCCATATGATACAGAAACCCAGGTCCCTGTATAATACTGTCATAAGTATAATTCCAGGTTAAGTAGGCAATAAGTAGAATGTTGCCTTTGATAATTGGTCTCATGTTTAGTGATATTGGAACCCTATGATCTGTGGTCTAAAAATCTTAAGTGTAGTCTGCACTTCAGTGTCAGAGCAAAACTAAAAATTTTTCAGGCCTTCTCTTTCAAAAGAATTTCTTTTCTTTTGTTATTAAAAAGTTACTCTTTGTTAAAGGCTAAACTCTACAAAAAATAAACAGTAAGTGACTTTATCATGGAACATTTTAGAGATTTGCTAAGCACAAACGAAACAATTCACCCTGCAACTTAAAGGCTACTTGAGCCATACTTAAAATTCTGATGAGAAACAAAATGAGCAAATTTATTTGTGGCCTTTTTTGGCTCCTTCAGCCCTCCTGTGGAGGTGCTACAGTCAGAGGAACAACCAAAGGTCTGGAGACTTCAGGTCAGATAAATACTATTTCAGGTTCCTGGATTACACAAGAAGAGCTCTGGTGGCCTAGTGCCTAAGGCATTTGACTGCTAACCAGAAGGCTGGCAGTTCAAACCCACCAGCCACTCCTCAGAACGAAGATTGGGCAATCTACTTCCATAGCGATACTGCCTTAGAAACCCAACGAGGGGTCTCTGTGAGTCGGATCTGACTCAATGGCAGTGACTTTGGTTAGTTTGGTGGATGACATAAGTGGTGAAGTGCTCCACTACTAGTAGTTCCACAGGCACCTCAGAAGACATAACTGACAATCTGCTTCAGAAAGGTCACAGCCTTAAAAACCCTCTGACACACCCATATAGGAATTGACTCAATACCACCTGAAAACTGCAACAAATACTATTTCTCACTCAAATTTGACCTCACCAGTAAATTACCGAATTCTATTGCTAATGTCTAGAACCTAATTTGCTAAATCTAGAAGTATTACTCTAGGAGCTCTGTTAGCATAGTGGCTAAAGCACTTGACTGCTA